TGCACCGGCACAGGTTGCCCAAGGGCAGTGGGGTGACTGACCCTGGGAGTGCTCCAGAACCACAGGGATGAGGGCAGTAGGCACGGCGGGGTGGACTTGGGAATCTTGGAAGTCCTTTTCAACTTTAACAATTCTATTCATTTATATTAAAGTCACACAATTCTATACTGGAGGTGTGTGTAAACTTCGATATGATGCCAAGGTGCTGCTGTTCCACCCTAATGCCCATCTCTGGTGAGTCCCCACCCTGCAGCCCCACCAGCACTCACCTGGACGCCCCTGGCTTTATGCAGCCCCAAGCACTGAAGGTTCATCAAAAACAACCCCACGTACCCCCAGGCATTTACCCCCAAACGCTCCCTGTGTCGATGTTGGGCACAGAGCTCCCCAACCCTTCACCCCCACATCTCTTAGCCCTGACCTCCATGTGGCCGTGGCTCTGATCTTTAGACAGACACTTTTCTACAAAAAAAAAAAAAAAGAATACAAATCCAAACGGTAAGTTTTTGTTTGGCTCATTTATGCTGGAGCTGGCAGCCAAAGCGAGAGCTCCGCACTTGGTTTATGGCTTTATGGCTCTGATTTACAGAGATAGAGGCAGAACGGTGAGCATCGCTCCCAGCCTAGAGCTGCGTTTTTAAACCTATATATTTCCAAGGAAGGGGGGGGGAGGGAATAAAATAAAATAACTGTTGAAACAAACAAAAATATATTTCATAGGAAAATATGGTTCCGTGGCGCCTTGCCTGCTGATAGCAAGCTGCTTCATTTGTGCAGCGACGGATTTAAGTGTTGGAAGCAAAAACAAAACACGGCTTCATGGTCTGGTTGAAAAAACTATGTTAAATAGAGGAAATTGCCCAATTAGGCAGCTTTTCTCCCCAAAGCAGCACTCCTTGTCTGAGGGACTCGCTGCCCACCCCCTTCCCAGCATTGCTAGTTATGTGAGGATGGGAAGGAGCCTGGGGCAGCCCTCAGCTTGTGACATTCCTGACAGCTCCCATCACCCTTCACAGGAGGCAAAGGCTTCTTGGAAATTACATTAAAAAAAGAAAAGAATGGGGTTTTGCTACAAGAAACAGTTACAACACAGCCCCGTGCCGGGATCCCGGGCTGCGAGTAGAGGGGAGCCCCTGTGCTCCCCAGAGCTCTGGGATCTCCACTGAGTGACATGGGCAGCTCCACCCAGCATCTTCTCCTTTCACCCACAGTTTGCCCCCAAATTGCCAGATTTGCTAAATCCCTTCATCTTCATCACACCATTTGGTGAACGTTAGCCCCACAGTGAGCAGCCAGGACCTCAAAGGGTTCTCCGTGGGTATGAGTGCAGTTTAGGGTGTCCCAAGGACCCTTCTTGCACGTTCCATCATCTCCCTTTACTGCCAGAGCCTGAGGGGACCTGGCTCCTGCGGTGGAACCAGCCAATAAATCCCCAGGCTGGAACAATAGCCCCCTGGAAGACATGAGATGTGGAACATCTGCAATTGATTGCATTTGCTGCTTCTTTGGGGTTTCTGCAATGTTTGTTTCCCAGCTTGTGATGTCGTGTCTCCTTGTGCCTCACAGGGAATTTTTTATTGCACTGTGCACGCTCAAATGCCGAGACACCTCTAAAATGAGCTGGAAACATGGGAGAGAGGGACAACACATGCCAAGAGGTCCTAAGCTCAGGGCAAGTGCCAAGAGCGGGACCTCAGAGCTCTGAGGTGGATCAGAGCAATGCAAGGCACATGGTTGCAGACTGAAAGCCCACTGACTCGGCCCCATCTGTTGGCCCCAGATTCATTGAGATGGAAGTATTTCCATTGCAGATCAGAACCCATCATTTGCTTGTTCCGTGAGCAGCTCTGCCACCACTCCAGCGCTCCGCACATCTCCAGGCATGAGCACTGAGGATTTGTCCTTTTCTCTGCCAAAATAACATATCACAGGGCTGCAGCCCTCGACGCCGCCTGGGCTCACTTGTCCTGCATCCTCCTGGTCCCCCATTGCTTTTGTCAACTCAGCTGCAACCCAAATCCCTTCGGATGTTTGCTCTAGGAAAAAGCAATGCACGCCGATTGCCAACGATTTCACACATAGCAACCATTGAGACAGCAAATGTTGTGGCAACTGGATCAACACCCGAGTATGCAGCAGCCTCTCGATCCTGTAAGGCTTTTTCCTCCCTTTGCTTTCCCCCCATCCTTCAGGCAGATGTTAGCATTTAGTCACTTTAAGTGTTTTTCATCACTGATAAACATCCCAATGCCCAGTGAGTCACCGTGTGCATGCACAGGGCTGCGTCTCAAGGACAGCGCTGTCATCGTGCCGTGCTGCAGACCATGGCTGTGGGGTTTGGGGGTACAGCCCCATACCTTGGGGTCCATGCGGAGGAAGGTGTGTGGTCCCCGGCTGCTCAGCGTCGAGCGCTTGAACGTTTTGCTGTGGTGGAAGTGGTAGTAGTTTTCCAAGCTGCCAATCTGGGAGAAAGAAAGATTTGTTTTACAAAGGCAAGGGTTGCCCACGGTCTGTAGAAAAATGCCAGCCCCAAGGCTGTGCTGTCCTCAGACCCCTCATCTCGCAGCCAGTGATGCTGTGGACTGCGCTCTGAGCACCTGCTTGAGCTGTGGGTGCCCCTGTTCAGTGCAGGAGTTGGACCAGATGGCCTTTAAGGGGCCCTTCCAACTCAGTGACCCTATGGCTCTATGTGGACCCTCTCTTCCCAAAAGCATCACTCAGTCAACCCAACATCCTGTGGAGATGCAGTGAGATGGGCAAGGAGGTTATAAACCAGAGTTCTTCATTCCCACAGGATTACTGAGAGCCAGCCCTGCTGTGAGCAGGACCTTGGGTCAAGGGACCCTTTGAACCTAACTTTAAACCAAGTAGAAGAACTCAAAAATGTGATTTCCGTCTTAAAAAAAAATAAATTGATGGAAGAGTATTTGCTCTCTCTGTGGGATCAGAGAGGACACTGCTGGAGCTCTTGCCCTACTCACTGGGAGCAGCGTGAGCCCCACAGGTGGGAGCTCTGGGGAAGCTGAGGACACTTCGGTTATTCCCATGGACGGCATCAATAGGGCTGAAACCCCACAAGCACAACAAAGGGAGTGCTGGAAACCCCGAGAGCAGCAGAGTCCCAAAGAGAAACACAACAGCAAAAGAGGTGAGTTGATGCCTTCTGCCTCCAGACAAGCTCACACATCCCAGTTCCAATGGGAATTGCTCTACAAATGTCATTCATTTAAGCAGCAATACAACCACACAGGCAGGGAGGGCAGCTCTCATGGTGGCACTGGAGTCCCCGCATCCAAGGTCCCAACAGGGTCTGAAATCCCCGAAGCTGAAGGAGGGAAGCACCACATGTCCCTCTGCCAGAGCAAGGACAAGCGCAGAGGTCCCCAAATCCTCATGCCACTGTTTCTCCCCTCCTCGTCCCCACAAGGCCCAGGCACACGTGCACAAAGGGGGACGTGGATGCACGGGGTTCAGCACTTGGTGACCTCCCCCTGGGTGAGCCCCGGGCTGGGGATGGCCTGGAGCAGCCAGAGCACTGCAGAGGTGCACGCGCCGGAGGAGAAGCAGGAACGCCCTGATGCAAGCACAGAAATATTTCCCTTGGTCTGCAGCCTGCTGCCGGCTGTCCTGGGAGGGCTCAGGGGAGAGGGAGGGATGGACGGGACAGACAGATGGATGGGACAGGCAGACAGAAATGATGGATGGATGGATGGGACAAAGGAGTGGATGAATGGAATGGACAGATGGATGGAGTGGAGAGGGATCGGTGCACAGGGCAGCCGATATAAGGCAAAGCAAAACCCCAAAGCAGGAGCACAGCGTTGGGTCGACGCAAAAGCCTAAAGCAGCAGCACGTCTGCTGCAAAGCGGGACGTTTAATGGAGCCGTTGAGCTGAATGGGGAGAACCAGCAGAAGGGCGCGCTCCCAGCTCCGCGAGAGAGATCGGGATGGGGCTGGACGGCCAGGGAGGGCAGAGCGCGGCGCTGCAGGTGGGGGACAGGGGATGGAGGGACGCGGGCTGGAGGACGCTGCCGCCCAACAGCTGCGGGACACGGGCATGGGACGGGTTTGTTGATGATGCAACACCCGAATTGCACTCTGCAGGGTTAGGGCAGAAAGCAGAGCTGCAATCAGTCGCTGGGACGCGGCTCCCGCAGGGGGAAGGGGCTGAATCCCCAGACCCGGGGGGAACCGTGCCGGGACCCCCCGGCATCCGCAGCGCGCTCGGACCGGGGAGAACCGCCCGCTCCTCGCGTTCCCGACACCTCCGATCAACCCCGGGCGGAGAGTCCAAAGTTTCCCCGATCCACCCGTGCAACTTCCCGGCCCCACGCGCGAACCCGAACGGCCCCGTACGGCCCCTCCGCACCTCCCCCCGCACCCCCTTACCTGCCCTAAGCTGATGTACCCATAGGCGGCTGCCAGGCGGGCGGCCTCGGCCGGGCCCCCCCGCACGCGGACGGCCCAGTGGTTGGTATAGACGGTGCGGGAGGGCCCCGCCGCCCCCCCCCGGCCCCAAAGGAGCAGGGTCAGGGCCAGGAGGCAGAGGGGGGCGGGCGGCGGGGGGGCTGCGCGGCGCGGGGCGGGCGCGGAGGCCGGAGGTGCGCGCATGGTGCTCGGCGCTCCGCGGGGCCGCGCTGGGCGGAGCGGGGAGAGGCGGCTTTTAAAGCGGCCCCGGAGCCCGGCGGGGGCGGGGGGATGCTCCCGGGGTGTGTGTGTGTGAGAGAGAGAGAATGGGGGGGGGGAGGTGGAGAACGGCCCTGCCCGGAGGTAGAGAGGGGAGAAGAAGGATGGGGACGGAGCGGGGGGTGAGGCGCGCCTGCGGGCATCGCTCCCGCACCCACTGGGTCCCACTGCATCGTCTGGCACTGAGCGCCGGGAGTCCTTTCTGTACCCCGCCTTGCATCCCACTTCTGCAGTCCCGCAGCCCCCTGCACCCTCATTACATCTCCGGACATCTCCCCCATACACCCTCTATGCCCCCCTGCACCCTCTAAGTGCCTCCAGCACACTCCCAGCACCTTCTCCTAAGCAGCCCACACCCCTGTCCATATCCCCTGCATGTCTTCAGGCAGCCCTCCCTGCACCTCCTCAATAACCCCTGGCACTCCCATCTGTATTTCCCTGCATCCCACTAGGCATCTCCTCTGTATTCCCCCTACATCCCACTGGGCATCGTTATCCCCCTGCATCCCTCTTGCATCACCCCAGGTACCCATCCCTCACCCTCCCCACATCACCCAGATACCCCACTACACATCTCTGCATCCCCTCCACAGCCCACTGTAGCATCCCACGTGCACCACCCTGCCCAGCCCTGTAACCCTGGACACCCCCCTGCACCCCCAGACCCTACTTAGGGGATATCAGAAGCTCATGACGTGTCAGCAAACAGGTTTGTTACGGGACAGGCAGCAGAATCTCCTCTTCCCTGTATCCAGCATCCAGCTGACCCACTGGGTCGTGGTGAACTTGACCTTGGTGTGCAAACCTGATAAAAGACAGCAGGGCCACAGTGAACTTCAGCTGCTCACATGCAGCCATGCTCCAAACCAGCTGGGATATCTTTGGGACATGAGCACAGCTGTCACCCAGAGGTCACCCCGCAGCCACCCCCACTGGCCCTCCCCATTACCCTGTGATGATGAGTGGGAAACGTGGAGTTGGGTTTCCCATGGGAAGGCATCAGAAACTCAGCACGGAGATGAATCCAAGAGGAACCCATGGGGAGCCCAGATCCTCCCATAGGGTCTGACCCCTGTGAGTGGCACATCCCTTGGGAGCAGCAGAGGAGACAATGAGAAGTTGAGAAATGGGGATCTGGGGAGCAGAGCACTGGTGATGGACCCCTCGAGGGGAAGGAAAAACAACTGGTGTTGCCCATGAAGGTGGCATTGCTGAGAAACACTTTTCAGCTAAAAATATGTCAGAGCACATTAACGGCTGCTCTGGTTAAGTGGGGAAGGATGGTCTCCATTAGCACCAGGAGGTGGGAAATCCACTGCTCATCCCCCACCTGTTTTATGCGCTTTGCCTCGAGATTCCCCTCTAATTAAGAGCTCACTGAGCAGAGGAGAGGTGGGAACAGGGCACAAAACCACCCCAAAGCTGCAGCAACGGGGCTGCTCACAAGTTGGGTGCCCACTGTGCATCACAGTGGTTCCAAAACCCAGCACGCTGCTCCTGCCCATTTCCTTTCCAAACAAGAAAAAAAAAGAAAGAAAGAAAAGAAAAAAGCTCATCAGAGAATGAGGGAAAAGCCTTTGGAGCACTGCGAACATCGATCGGAGGGGAGGAAGGCAGTGTTCCGCTCTCGGTGCCAGTAGGGAGGTGCCGTCTGCTGGCTGACCCCGCAGTGCCGTGAAGCAGACTTTGTCCCCACCGCGGTGCAGCGGGGCACAGCCTGGCTCGGCGCTCACTCTTTTTTCCTGGGCTGATTTCAAAACCAGAGAGCTGCAGCGCGATCCAGCCGGGCGCGGAGATTACAGCAGGAATCAGGTTAAACCCCGGTTATGGGATGCGTGCCGGGGTACGGCGGTGGCACGGCACAGCCCCAGCTGCTTGCGAGTGGCCGTTAAGTCATGCCGTGCACTTGGAAATAGCTCTTTCTGTAGCTTGCAGGTTTAACCAAATGAGTGAAAATTGTGCTGGTGTAATTAAAGCAGTGCGGTTTGTGATCCGTCTGTGCGCTGGAGTTATTCTGCAGATGGAAAATCCGTGGACGGCTGCAGCCTCGCATCCTGCGTGGTTCCAGTTTCCATTGCTGTGAGGGTGCCTGTGGACACCGCCTTCCTCCTGGGCTGGGCTGCTCCCAGGTGTTCTGCTTTCATCCCAAAAATGCTGCATGGAAATGAGCTGAGTGCAACAGTCAGAAATGAAGATCCGCAGCACCGTGGCCAACGGGTCATTTTTTCACTTTGGGAAAATCCCGAGTGGATTTCCAGAGATCTGTGCTTGATGGAGACATGCTGCACCTGCTGGTTGGAGCCTGGATGAGAAATGAGGAAGAATCAGAGCAAAAAGGCTCTGGGAGAGGGCTGCCATTGGGGCTGGAAGAGCCCAGCTTAGAACAAGGAGGGCCACGTGGATGGGCTTTGCCATGCAGCAGCTCTCCCAGCCATCAGAAACTGAAGGCAGCAGCACAGGAGATTTAAACTGGAGATTAGAGAGGCAGCAGGGAGATGGGAGCTCGTGCCAGAGCTGCAGTGAGAACAGCATCCACGGTCTGGATTTCTGCAATCTCGGAGTGATCTGCAGCATTTTCTATCATTGCTCTCCAGAAAGATTAAATCTTGATTGTCAGGAAGCAGTGCGGCGGGTGAGAAGATTTCCCAGACCAGTCAAAATGTCATCCTGGTAAAAATGCCGGTAATAAAAGATGAAAGGAGAGGGCCCACTGTGGGCTCAAGCCTGTAAAGATGGCCAGAAGATGGATCTGGAAGTTTAGAAACAATTTTAAGCACGGTGCGAATGGTCGCTGCAGGGACAGAAGGGCTCAGCACAGATATCCACGGTGGGGGGAAGAACTGGTAAATTAATAAAAATCAGCGGCGCGCCCAGTGTTGAATTAAAAGAAGAGAATTAAAGCCAATGTTTTCACAGGTCTCAAAGGGCTCTGTTGGTGCCTAAGAAATGTGGGCAATGAAGAAGATGCCCAGTGGGGTTGGTGGGATGCTCAGCCCCAGCTGGGACCAGGCACTGTTCCTTGTGCCAAAAGCAAGCTTGAAATAACCTGAGACAAAGCCAACCCCACCCACTGGAATAGCAGGTCTGACAGAGCTGGGCTATGCAGGCACTGGGCAGGGGCCGCACCGTGGCTGAGCAAAGGATATTTCAGGTCCCCCTGGCCGGAGCCATGCATCTGTCACTGTCATTGTGGCTCTCCCCAGGGCTAAAATTGGGCTAAAGCTGGGACTCCGAGTGCTACCCGTGTGTCCATGGGGATGTGAGTCACCAGCAGGGACGTCCGCCTGCTTGTGCTGCGGCTTCTGCAAAGCAAATGCAGCTCCTCTGCTCTGTCTCCAAAGTGGATGATGTCCACAAGGATCCACCGTGACCAGCACTGCTGTGTTTTCACACCTGAAACCTTTTGGCAAAGGTTTTTGAGCACTGGGAGCATGAAAGTGCGGGGCGAGAGATGAGCCTGAGGGGGAGAGATGCAAAGATCAAAACAACAGCGATTTCAAAATAAAATCTGACAGCCAAGGGAAAACACAGCTTGTCCCTGCCGAGACTATCATTTATGGCAATTAAAAAAAAATTGGCATGGCAATAAGGAGAACAGCGTGGTATTTCCTGACAAGGGCGTAGGGAGCATCCTTGGAAAGTCTTCCCTGCACAGCGTGCTGGCTGCTTCCAGAAAAACAAAGGTTGCTGTGACCCACCTGTCCCTGAAAAGCAGCTATTTGGGGCTGTAATATGGCTCTTGTTTCAGCTAGGCCAAGGAGAACAAAAGTCACTGGCTGAATATGGCAGAGCTATTGGCAGCTTTTCCCGGCTCTGAGGTTTGGGTATTTGCCTGCAGCTCTGTAATTGCTGTGAAACTCTTTAAAGAAAAAAACAACAAAAAAACCCCAACACTGTAGAGCTGGGCTGCAGCAGCCCATATGAGATGAAGGAGAGCTGGTCACACGTATCCCCATGTCCCCACACCTCCCAGGAAGCCAGGGCTGGGACGCACTTGGGGCTCACCCAGGGCGTATCTGAGGGTTTCAGTGGCGTAACAGGGATTGCCAAAGCCCAACCTCTGGGAGCGATTACCTTTCGCACAGTACTTCAAGGGGGAGCATGGAAAGCAAACAGAAACCCACAGTTTTCTTCACCTGATGCTGCCTATCCCTCCTCAGAGCCGCAGCCAGGCGTTGTTTGTGTGATGAGACCCGCACTGCCGCCAGACATGCCATGATGCTGAAGAGAAGCAGCTCCACCTAGACAAGCACTGCTGCTAATGCAGAGCCCACATGTGCTGCTGCACTGCCAGCTCACCCACCAACCACCCATCATCAATAAATGACCATCAGTCATTGACCATCGCTCACCGACTACCAAATATTGAGCACCAACAGCTGACCATCGACCGCTAACCACTGACCATCGTCCACGGATCATTAACCATTGACCAGCAATCACTGACCATCAGCCACTGACTGTTGCACACCGACAATTGATCATCAACCACTGAGCACTGATCACTGGCCGCTGACTGTCAACTATTGACACTGGCTATTGACCATGGACCATTGCCCCATCCAGCTGGGCACCAGCCTTGGCACCACCCAGTTCAAATTGCAGCCGGGTTTCAAGCTGCATCGAGGTTCTAAATCCTGGAGCCAGTTGGAGTCTTGTTACCAAGTTTTCCTTTCACTGAAGCAAAACAACACCTTCAAAACCCCCAATGTTCATTTTCTTTCCCAAAGAGGGTAGCAGCCTTAAGCAGTTGCCACTTGCAAAGTCATTCTGAGAGCAATGGGAGGGAAAATCCTGTAGGAAACAAAACTGAACTTCAGTAAGACAGTCCGAGGTGAGAAAAGACCCTCTGTGAGCTCTGAAATTGGTCAATTACAGTGATGTAAGGCAAAGCGGGGCTTTGTGGAGCCCTGGACATGTCTGGATTAGCCCCATAGAAGTTTGTTTCAGCAGCTGGTGGTAACTGTGGGTTTCCCTGCAGGAGACAGCAGAGAGACGTTCACCTGTGCTCATTTTGAGAGCTGCTCATTAGTCCTCATCAAAGATAATTACGCTTCAAATCAGAATCAGATATCCGGCAGAATTTTGAACAACCATGACAAAGTGGGTCCCCATTTGTTTACCCAGGGGGAGAAGGGGTTCCTGGCTGCTGGGATGCTGGCACCTGGAGGAGTTTCTGCCCACCCTGCTTCCCCCTCCCTGCGAAAGTACTTTGTTGGTTGTTTTTTTTTTCAGGAGAAAATGCACCCAACATGGAAACAAGAGCATGGCAATACTTTTTGGTGAGGAAATGGGCAGGAAATGAGGGGAAATGGGCAACGAGCTGCATGGGGAGGGCAGCTTCTCCCCAGCTCCACCTCGGCAGGTCGCTGCTGCTGTGCGCTGCCTTCCCAGATATTACTCTAATGCTTTCTTTCAGCCTGCAGATAAATGGGCCTCTTCAGAAGGCATTAAGCCCTCTCTGTTCCAACATTTTCTTTAAGAGAGCAGAGGAAAAGTTCGGATTACGCTGAGCTTCTGAATTCAGCTTTTATGGGTGAGCTGTGAGGGGTTTCCTTCCAAGACAAAATAGGGCCAGTGTGCTTTTTTCTCCTTTCCTTCTGAACGATGACGGAGGCCGTGCTGCCCCTTCACCTCCTGCATTTTCCTCCCCTCCTGTGGTTCCCTGTGGGCTGCGTGGCACCACCAATGTGATGCTTAAGGGGAGGATCAGTGCTGCAATTGTGCAGTGCCAGAGAACCCCGCACCACAGGCAGGTCCAACTCTTGTTGAGACAATGATTTGTGTTCCAATTTTGAAATTCCTGGGTGGGATCTTTCCCTGGCTCCGGAGCAGCAGCTGTGAGCATTGAATCACAGCAGAAATAGGGAGAAGCATCTAGTGGGAGCAGCACTGGGTGGGAGCAGCAAAGTGAGACCCAGAGACTGCTGGACTGAGGAAATGGCAATGTAATAATGGTGCAGGGGAGGTGGAACTGGAGGAAGGACAAAAATGAGCCAAATTTGGGAAGAATTATGTTGAAGGAGAACATAATGAGAAGACCTCAGAAGGCTGGTTGAAGCCACCTCCTCCCAGCCTAAATTACCCAGTGATTCAGCCACTGGGGATGGTGCAAGCCCAGCGAGTTCCACGTGGGCGAGCAGGGTTGGTCACCGCTCACCTCTTCCCAGACAAGGGACGGGTGACAGCGGGTGACACGGCGTCAGCGGGGACAACCTGAGGGAGGTGGCTCATGGCGGCTCTCAACCACAGGGACGCATTGGCTGCAGAGCCCCAGGGCTGCATGGGGGCAATTAGTGGAAGATAAATTAAAAGACACTGTCTGCAGCTCTTGGGAGTCCCTGATTGGCAATCTGCTGGAGGGGAGCAGAGCTGAAGGCTTGTCCTGGCTTTGTGCTCTGCCCTAAGCATCCACAGTGGGGCTTGTTGAGCCTGGGTGGGCAGGAGGAGACGGTGCTCTGTGGGCTCTGAGACACAGGGGGTCCTTGGGATGCATCCCTGAGGTCCTTGGGGATGTGTCCGTGGAGACTCTGGGTTTGCATCCGTGGGATCTTTGGGATGTGTCCATGGGAAATGCAGCAGATGGGGTCCCCGACCTGAGATGTGCAGATGCATCCTGGAGAGGTGCACAGGTATGTCCAGTCCTGTCGCTGGGACAATCTCAACATGCAGAACTTGCGGCATTGCCCCTTGTCCCCAGCCGGGCTCACAGTTCTGGAGAGGGGACATCCCGGCTGAGGGATGGGTACAAAGAAACAAACAGCCCTAAGGATCCGCAGCCCCGCGGTGGGGACCGAACCCCGTCATGTCCCCAGATCCCATCAGATTACCGCTTGGGCGCCATCCCGAGACCGTGCAGCCGCAGCTCCGCGCAGTCGGGGTCGGTGTTACACCGGGCGGGCGCTAGGGGGGGATGGCGGCACGCAGAGCGACCGCGGGCTGCGAGCAGCAGGAGGATGAGGAAGAGGAGGAAGGCCGAATCAGGCTCCAGGTGCAAGCAGGGGATGAGGGCAGGAATGGGGACTATCTTCTGCGTATTGAGCACATCCCAGCTCCCCACCCAGGAGCAAAAAGAGGAGCATACTTTTACCCTACAATATAGCCAAAACTGCAGATCCCAAACTGGGGTTTGCCGGGGGTGGCAGAACCCCACTATTGCCCACTGTGCAGTGAAGGCAGCGGGTCGGCCACCAGATCCCACCCTGGCACTGAGACTGCCATCAACATGAGCACTGCACAGCCAATGAGTTCCACACTGATCACCAACATTAATTATATTTTGCAATTTCAGACAAAAAGCATTGCCCACTGGGATTCCATGTGGCTCCTTCCATGCCACAGCATATTCCCCCCCATGTGGCTGCAGAGCCCGGCAGGACAAGCCATCCCTGCAGCAATTCAACTGACTGAGAGACTCCTGATCTCACCACCATCAAGAACATCATTTTGGGAACCATCAGCACTTCAGCTGCACCCTGTGCACCCACCCCTGTACACATTCACTGCACGGCTACGTGAGAGCCCCAGCTCAGGCACAGAGGATGAGCCCTACAGCACCCCATATGAGGGAGTTTACTTTCCAGCTCTGAACGTAAATTCTCTAATCATTTGATCCCAACCTGCTCCCCCAGTTGTCATCATACATTGCCTCCATTGTACCCCCAGTGCTTGGCTGCCCTGGGCTGGTTCCTGCAGGATGCACAAGGAACTGCACTCAGCCACCCCTCCACCAAATTCCCAGATGTCCCTTTCCCATCCCAGTGCACTGACTGCACAACCCTGGCAGCATCTGTGGAGGATTAGAGCCTCCCTAATTTCCAGTCTCCATTTATTCCTGTCCAGCTCCAATCCCATTTGTTCTGGTGCCAACATTGTCTCCCGGCGCACACAGCTCGTCTCCCTTCCTGGTGCTGTGCCTTGAAGTATTAATAGCGGGCAGCTCCCTGCCCTGCCTTTGTTCCCCCCGCACATGGCAGAGAAGGATGTGGCTTTTCAGAAGAGGCTCAGGGACAAGAAGGCCCATTCAGCAAATCCTCATGCTCAGTGGCACTGCCATGATGAAATATCCCCAAAAACGGCACCGGGAGCTGCTTCCTATCAGACCCAAGCAGAAAATGAGCTTTTTGCCTCTCCTGCAAACTGTTCCTTCCCACTCTTCCCAGAAGGATGATATTTTTGAAGCTTGCAGGAAACGAGGTTTTGGCAATGCCTGAGAAGCGATGGGAGGGGTGGGTGGGTGGGGGCTCCCTGGATGCTTGGCGTGACTGGAGTGGTCTGAAGCTGGGAGCTGTGGGCTGGGGTTAAGCTCTGGCATGCTGGGAAGGGCAGGGGAAAGGGGTGACGACAAGATCTCCAAACTAAGATGAGCATCAAGGAGCAGCTCTGGGACTCCTGCACCCCAGGTTGGGATGCCGATGTCAGCAGCTCGCTTGGTGCACATATAGCCATATTCAGGTGGTTGCTTCGTTTTGTTTTTCTCCCCTTTTTTTAAAGCACAAAATCACTCCAAATCGCATCGCCCATTTCCCCAGATCCACACTCACAGTAGAAGTGGTAGCTCAGAGCCTCCAGCGGTGTCAGTGCCTTCATATGGGGACACAGGGCAGCAGCAGGCAGCCCCTGGCAGGAGTCTCAACCACAGCATTCCCAACCTGGATTTAAACACATGGCCTCCATCACACTCCTTCATAAGCTAACTTAAGGCATCCCCAACTCTACCCCAGCAAGTGATGGCCTTTCCGTGATTTTGGGTTTGCTTTGTTCCCACTGCAAACACCTGCAGGCTGAAACCCCCAACACCCAGGGGCATTTCCAAGTGTAGCAGGGAACCATAGAATCATTGAGGTCAGAAAAGATCTCTAAGATCATCAGGTCTAACCATACACCCATTGCCACCATGCCCACTGACCATGTGTTCCCACGCCACCTGCTGCAGCCTTTGCTGCTGCCAAACCCAGTGTGGGGGCTCCTGCTGCTCACCATGCCCAGGTGTTCCCAGGCTGCCTGCTCCTCCCAGTCCAATTACAACACCCAGCCTCTGCTCCAGGTGGTCTTTAGCCAGATGCTGACGAAGGAGGCTGTTCAGTGCCCTGAAGAAGTGCTATTACCATTGGGTGCAGAGGGAAATCAAAGCATGTGACTTGCCAAGGTGTCTAGGTGCTGCGGGCTGGGGATGGGTGGCAGTGTCACAGCTCTCCCGTTGGCCACAGAGATGGGTCACAGACCCCGCTGCCAGCACCACATAGGGCTTAGAGCAAAGGGCTGCCTCACCAGCTGAGGTCCTCGTTGCACGCCTCACCAGCACCAGCTGCTTGGTGTCACCCCCAGCAGCATCGCCCCACTTTTACCAGTGACCACGCACCGGGGTGGGCAGCGCTTCCCTGCTGCAAACCCAGCCATGATGCCCGTCCCCAACCTGCCAGCAAGCCGCTGCATTTGTGCAATTGTGTTCTCACTCTGCAAACACCTTCCCTTAATTACTTTCATTCAACAACAGGTCCTCCCGGAGCTGCTGCTCCCTGCGGATGGGGACTGCCCTCGCAGCAGCTGATAAACCCCAATGATACGGCCCTGGCGTCGCGGCTCCCCAGCAGCCGCGTGTCCTCGCATGCACGGTGACTGCATGCTAAAAACATTCTGCACTTTTTCACCGATTAAAATTTTCCAGGAGAGAGTCAGAACCGCAGCCCACACCCTATCGGCTGGGCCAGAGGTTTCCCCTCACTCTCCGCAGCCCTGCCAGGAAAATCAAGAATACAGAAAAGCATTTCTGCTGGTTTGGGTCATTTTGAAAGTTTGGCTGCAGCATCATTTGTTTAACAATAACTCATTCTGTGCTGCTCCCAGAACTTTGGGCCCAGCCTCGCAGGGATGAAACGGATGGATGCTCACAGCTGCATGCCAGGCCCCACGCCTGCCCCGAATCAGAATCTTCTGTGCCCAATTTTGCTACCAGCGGTGGCAGAAGGAGCACTGAGGCTGTAGACGGTGTTTACCCAGCAAAGGGATCACACTGGTGAGACTGGAGCGTCTGCCAAAGCCACAGCCAAGCTGATAAGGAAGAGATGCAATCAGGTGTTTCTTCTCATTACCACTAATTGCTGTTTGCATGCTCTCAGGAGCTCTGTCCTAGACTGGACCCTGTGCAAGTGGAGCAAGCAGAGATACCTGTGAAAAAGTGCATTTAACCTGGAGGTATCAGTGCTTTTCTTCTCCTTTCCTTCTCACCCTGCCGAGAACAATGGAGGCAAGGTTTGCAGAGGGAGGTAATATCTTTTTTTAGCCCAACTGAAATAATTAGGAGAAAAACAGGCAGGCTGCAGGGTACATGAGCCCTTCAGCAGGACTGAAATAGAAGCAGAAGTCTGCAGAGCTGAATACCAACAGAGAACAATAGCTGGAGCGTGACTAGTAGTGTTAACCAGTTCTGCCACCAAGGACCACTTTCCAGCTGTTTTCCTTGGGCACTGCCAAAATCCATCATTCTGATGGTGCTGCCAGGAGCCAGCACCACTCCAAGGAACGGTGCCAGCCCACAGAGCCCCAGGATGTGCACCAGGGCTTTGAGAAGCTCAGGGCCCAGATGGTGCCTGACTGGGCATCATTCTGCACCCTGCATCCCATCCTGCTGCTCCCCAGGCACTGTTGCCCTAACCTGCACCCTGCCTGACCCTCATGAGTCACCACTTCCAGGAGTCCCATCCCTCCATGGGGGTGTCACCTGAATGCTGGGGATGCCAGCCTGACCCTGGGGGCTGTGGCTGACCCTCAGGGACCTGTTAGACACCACAGTTCTTTGCCCCAGACCAGGGGCTCCAGGTTCACATCCCACCACTGGGTACTCTGTCTCCACCCCTATGGTCCACGTCCCACTTCCATGGCACATTTCCCACCTTGCAGAACTTGTCCCACCTCCACGGTCCATGTCCCATCCTCCAGATCCTGTCCTACCCCTAGGGTGTATGTCCCATTCTCTAGACCCTGTCCCATCTCTCTCGTCCGTGTACCACTCTCTAGACCTTGTCCCATCCCTACGGCCCGTACAACATTCTGCAGACCCTGCCCCATCTCACGCACCCTTTCCCTTGAGCCCTGGCACTCCATGCGACCCCAGAACCACGTCCCAGCTCCCTGACCGACCCCGGTCCCTCCATCCCGACGTCTCCCACCCTACTCTCGCCGCGGGCGCGGCCTCACGGAGCTGCGGAGCCGGGGCTGGGCCAGGCGGGGGCCGGGCCAGGCGAGGCGGCGGCGGGGCCGGGGCCGGAGGAGGGGGATCCCCGCCTCCCTGGGGCCGCGCTCGCAGCTCCGGAGCTGCCGGAAACCCGGCGTTGCCGCTCGGCCGGTGCTGCTGCTCCTCGGCGTGAAGTTGGTGCGGAGGCAGAGCACGGCCCGGCCCGGCATGTCCCCCCGCCCGGCTGCGGGACGCCGGCGGCGGCGGAGCCCCTGAACGGGCGGCGAGGAGCGGCGGCCGGTCCCGACCATGGAGCAAGTGAGTACCGGGACGCGTTAGAGGCTCAGCCCCAGGGAGGGGCGTCGCGACCGGTCCCATGTCGGGAGGTCCCTCTGCTGCTATCGCAGCATCCCCAGCCCCGCGACTTGTGCAACTTGCTGCTGAGTTGGGGTGCTGCGGGAGGGCGAGCGGAGCGGGGCCGCTCCCGGTGGCTGCGTCCCGCAGCGTGCTGTGCTTCCAACGGGCGCGAGCTGGGTGCTGGCCGAGTGCCTGGCAGCGGCCGTCCTTCTCCTCCTCCTTCTCCTCCTCCTTCTCTTTTGGGGAAGGCTGTCGTGCTTCTGCACGTGGAGCTTTTCGCGGCCCCCTGATGCCACAGATTTGTTGGCAAGTTTAGCAGGTCCTCTCCTCCACGCGTCTGCTCACCCGATTATTCCTTTTTCCCTTCCACCCGACGAGGTTTTGCTGCTGATGCACGAGGAAGGTGCGGCAGGACAGGCTGCGGGCTCCGGGACATGCAACACTGGGAGCTTGGCTTGCTCTCCCCGTGCTTAACTCCCCAAATGTTGTGGTGATAATAAGGGCTTCTTCCAAAAGGGCCACGACAGCGGGGAGACCAAAAGGCAGCCCAGCGTGGTAGGGACTGAAAGTTGTCATTATCCGCCGGCATCCATGAAATTAATCTGTAGCACAAAAGTGCTTCCAGCTGGCGGCTGCACGCAGCGGGCGCTGCCGGGTTGGGGGCTGCGTGCCCTTCGTTGGCCACAAATGAGTCCTCCTGGCAGTGGGCAACGGTGCAACTTCCAGGGTCTCACATCCATGTGTGCGGTGTCTGGTATTGCTCCTGCATCATGCAGATGTGAAGTGCCAGCAACGTGTCAGGAGTGAACGTGGAGGGGTAGGAAACAAGCTGAGGTATGGGAACGCAACTGGGGATGCATCTGGAGATGCATCCGTGCTGCAGGATGGGATGGACCAGTTGCACCACTTGCTTGCCAAGTAAAATGCTCCTGTGCAGTGTGTGCAACTTGTGAAAGCACCGCCGCAGTCCGACTGTTGGCTTCTGCTGTTGTCAGAAGACACAGAAAGTATGTGGTTTTGTGGGGCCCTAAACTCGGGGGGAGGAAGGCAGAAATAACTGCCTAATTGTTAAATTAAAAGCCACTCCACGTCTTTAATTTGACATCTCTGCTGAGCTGCAAAACATGAAGGTAAAGGAGAGTCCAACTCGTGCTGCACTTTTAATGCCACCATGCTGTAAATCGCACCAATGACTTGTACCGGCTGTGGGACCAGCGCCGCTGGCTCAGGCAGTGACAGAATAACTCAGTTCTTCCCTTGGTTATGCTGGCTCTCTTGGCTGATGTCAGTGGGTTTATTCTGATGGATTTACACCAGCATCAGGCACAAATCCAGCCCGGGAACATCTTGGAATGGCTATCTTAGTATTTCTTGCCTCCAGCAGAAGGAATACCCGCAGAAAGCTGAATTAACAACAACAAATCATCTCTTTGTGCTGCCCTCCAATTTTAGTCATGGAATCACAGGCAGCGAGCATGGAGCAGACACTGAGTCCTGCTTCCAGCGCTCTGCCCTGGCAAACCTCCCCTTGCTGACAGATCGAGGGGCTGCACAAGCCAGAGGCATGGGATGCCAGCACCATGGGAAGCGCCGCGTGGTTGGGAGAGCATCCCATGCATGTGTCCTGCTTGTGTGTGGATCGAAGCGTCACTCCTGCTACAAACAGAGGGGGTGAGCAGCCAGGCTTTAGGCACAGATGGGGACGATTTGGCCCAGAAGTGGAAATCCCGATGGGGTGGAGAAAAGAGATTGTCCCAAGATATCAGGGAGCTGGTGAATGCCATGAGATCACAGGAGTGCAAGCATGAGAATTCCCTCCAATCAAAGCGGTGATGAGGATGGGTTGCTTTTTCAGCAGTAGATGTGAAGTGCTGCAACTTTACAGTGAGTCATTTTATTGTAAAACCATGGAGGAGAGGGTTTTCACACCGCAGAGTAAAGAGGCCACGGATAGGCTGATTTGCTGTGTGTTTTCTGGCAGCCATTTTGCCATTGAGAGAAAAAATAAAAATTGATCTGCAGAGCAGAAAACTCCAACCCATTTGGGAGTAGCAGGAAGACAGGCGAGGAATCACTCTTGGTGCAGCTACATCCAAGCAGAACTGCTAGGTGTGAGGTCAAAGCCCGTGCCCAGTTACCCAAGCATGACATCAAAAGGGATGATGCACCAACAGGTCTGTATTGGTGCAGCCGTTGATGTTTGCTGAAGGAACAAATCGCAACTGACTGCAACTTCCTGGCAACCTAAAAAAGTAGAGCTTAAAAAAACCACAGTGCTCCTCATTTCCCGGAAAAGTTGTTGGTGTGCTGCCATCCTGTTGCAGGGCCTGTCAAACACAGCACAGCACCATGAAACAGCTTCATTCTGCAAAGTGCACTGGGGCTGCTGGCCATTTCTGTGTGATTTACCTTTACCTGAGGAAGTCTGGCTGTGTTTCAGGCATTGAGCCTCTTCCTGATCTGGCTGGAGGCTGGAATAAACGTTTGCACACAGCAAATTTAATCTGTTTTGCTTCTCATTATGGGTGCAAGTTCTATCTTTAAGGAACAGCTCACCCAAATACTATCCAAGGGTGTGTTTGCTGGGAGTCTGGTTCATGAAAACAGATCTGTTAGTAAGGCTTTCCTCTGGATTTTTGGAACCTGTCTGTACTCACTTGCCCTATCTCCACTCCCTTCTGGCCACGGGAGTGCCTGGCTCTGACTCCTTGTGATGCACATGGGATTTCCTCATGGTAGGAAACATGATGTTTAAGCTACAGACGTTCTGATTTGTTGTTTTGATTTTTCCCTATCAGCAGCTGGCTAGAGCCATTTGAGGATGCTTGGGGCTCTGCCTTGGTCGTGCATCCTTTGGTTTGTGAAAATGCTGCTTAGTGCCATTACAGGCAACAACAGGTCCTGTGTCCTGGGAGAAAAGCCAAATCTGGGGTAACAGTGTGGTTCTGGGAAGGGCTCTGGAGGATTTGGGGTTGGCCTCCTCTTAAGGGTCACGAGTTCGGTGAGGTGTTTTTCTAAGGAGATTTGGCTCTGCTTGCTCCTGGGAAAGGCTTAGGGCAGCAGCCGTGCCGGATTCTGCATGCAGGGCAGCAGCAGCCTCAGGGTCCATGCCCACTCCCCAGCCCTGTTCCAGAGGTCTGGGCTGTGGGACAGGAGCTGCCTGAGCTCTCTTCCTCCCTGTAGAAGTGTTCTCTGGAAGATGCCAGTCTGGTGCCAGCCTTTCTCCCTGTGAGCTGCTGGGGAGGGACTGCACATGGTGGGTGCTGCGGTCTTTGCTCGGCAGGCTTTTCCAAGGCCTGTCATTAGATGGATGGAAGGTGCTCTCAAGGTAACTTCTCCCTTCTGCTTTGTTTGGTGGTCCTTCAGGATACAAAGGAGGAGGTTTCGGAGAAACCAAAGCCTGCTCCCAGTGCAGAGAAATTTGGCTGGATAAAGAAAAGCAGTGGAGGACTCCTGGGACTGTGGAAGGATCGCTACGTCCAGCTGCGGAAAACACAGCTCGTGGTCTTCGAGGATGAGGTATGCTCACAGCTTAACCCCCTTGGGCAGGATCAAGTCCTCGGTGACACAGCCCTTTGATTTTCACTCCTCTTTCCAGCCCGTTCCTTTCAGAAGGACTTCTGTAGATACTTTCAGGGAGGTTAAATGAAGAAGAGACAGCTGCTGCGTTTTAGAGAATATTATGTACCATAAATATTTCAGCCAGTAAATATTTTGACAGTAGCATTGTTAAAAAAAAAAAAAAGACAACGGGGGCAGGACATCCTGTGAGAAGGTGAACAGGGTAAGACTTGAGGCGGAAGCAGGATATGTGCTCGCAGTTTTTGGCATTTAAGGGCTAAAACTGCATTGTAGCAGCCTGACTGCCCACCTGCTGCTGGAGGGCACGACTGGCAGCCCTGCAGCTGTTGAGCCCTCCACAAGCAGCTGGAGCTGCTGGCTGCCAGGCTGTGCAGGGTCTTGTTTAGCCACGATGGGCACAGGATGAGGTTGTGAGTGCTTGATTTATCCTTAAATAAGGACACGGTTTGGGTTTGGCTCATCCCTTCCTGTTGGTTGAGCAAGCCAGAGCTAAGAGAGGGACTCTTGGGAGCCTTTTCCTGAACTTCCCTAGATAAGTTGAATGCCTTAAGTTCATGGCTTCATTTAGAGCTGTTTCTAATCCAATGAGGAATAAGAGCCAAGCCAAATCTGCTCTGTATCTTCATGCGAGAAGAATGAAAAGTGAAATATCTCTGAGTCTGCTGCTCTGTTGTTGGGCCGAAAGGGCTCTGTAAGAGTGAGATTGTCCTCAGAGGTCCCCAGAGGAATATATTAGTGGGCAGATCACATAAGCTCAGCCCGGAGGGGTCTGAGACAGGGGCAGCTGAGGCTAAGCCCTGCTGGTATGTGTGCTTCTGTGGCACCTGGCACGAGAGGACTGGGGCATTTGTGGGCATCAGAACGCTAGAAGACAAAAGCAGTCCAGTTTCTGTGCAGCATGTCAAGGGAACGGGAATGGGGAAACATGTCAGCAGTTGCACTGCTGTGATGGTTTCAGGAACAACAGGACTGACAAAAAAGTTTGGTTCTCTTTTCTAAAAACAGTATTGCCTAATATGGAAGATTTGTTATGAGCGCTTTGGGTTAAATTATATTACCTTCTGCTCTCCCCACATCCCAAGGCTTTCAGGAGGCGTTTGTTCTTGGTTTTGAAATGTCA